TTACTTTGGCATTTTTCTAACCTTTGAGGTCAAAGAATTGCATACCATCTACCAAAGAGCAAAACATTAAGGCATTTATTATAATAATTACTATTGTTGTTGACAGAGGTTTCTGTCCTGCCCAGTCCCACAGCCCTTTAGTCCCAAAGAAACACACAGAAGCCTACATTAATTATAAACTGGTTAGCCTATTAGCTCAGGCTTCTTATTAATTAACTCATGTCTTACATTATCCCAAAATTCTTGTCTGTGTTAGCCATGTGGCTTAGTACCTTTTATCAGTGAGGTATTCTCATCTTGCTTGTGTCCTCTGCATCTGGGTGATGACTGCTGACCAAGCCTTTCCTCTTCCCAGAATTCTATTCTGGTTGTTCCACCTATACGTCCTCTCAGGCTACTGGTCAATCAGTGTTTTATTAAACACAAGTGACAAATCTTTACAGGGTACAAGACCACTGTTCCACAGAATATTATTATTATTTATTAAAATACTACTAAAATTTCTTCTCTCATGTAACATATCTTGACCACAGTTTTTCCCCCCTCTACTCCCCGCAGCTCCCTGCCACCTCTCTTTTACCCCAGTTCCATTCCTTCTCCATCTCCCATGAGAAAAGAGCAGGCCTCCAAGAGGCAACAACCAAACACAACAAAACAAAGTACATTCAGACAAGGTAAAAGCCCTCGCACTGAAGCAGGACAAGGCAACTGAACAGGAGGAAAAGGCAAAAGAGAGTGACATTTGCTCTCACTGTTAGGAGTCCCACAAAAAAAAAAAAAAAAAAAAAAAAAAAAAAGCAAGTTAAAAGCCGCAGCATATACACAGAGGACCTGGTTCAGATCGATGCAGCCAGGTGCTCTGCTTCAGTCTCTCTGAGCCAATATGAGCTCTGCTTATTTGATTTAGTGGGCTGTGTTCTCCTAGAGTCCTCCATCCTTTCCGACTCCTTTCTTTCATCCCCCCATCCCCCTCCTCTGCAGGATTTTCCAAGCTGAAGGAACCCAAGAGAGACGTCCAATTTAGACCCTCTGTCTCTCTCTGCATAATGTCTGGCTGTTAGTCTGTGGATCAGCTCCCATCTGCTGCTGGAAGAAGCCTCTCTGATGGTAAGTGGACAAGGCACTTACTTGTGAGTATAGCACAATACCATTAGGAATCACTTCATTAATTTTTTTTTTTTTTTTAAGATCAGTTGTGTTTGGTTCTTCCCTAGGTCTCTGCTCTTTGCAGCAATGTAAGGTGTGGGCTCTTCCTCAAGGAGCAGACCCCTTAAAGCATTCTTTGCGTGGTTATACCCAAGCAACCTCAAGTTGATGTTTTTTTATTGTAGCTTCCCGATTCTTCCATTGTGTTCCCCTCATAAACACGCCACCATCTCCTAAGAACATGGAGTTTACAAATTTATTTTGGCAGCTTTGTCTCCTGCATGAAGAAAGGTCAAAACACACAAAAGATGTTTTAAAGCATTTTGCGTTTGCAGAGACACTGATGTGAGGATTTTAATTATAAAATAATTGTGGATCATTGAATCAATTTCTTAGCTTTAAAATAAGAAGAAATGTTTGCAAATGTAGCAATGAGATGTTTACAACAAAAAGAAGAACAAGAAGACAAAGCAGAACAGAAGTTGGCATCATTACCAAGGCGGCCAAAGTTTCACACACGGGAGACTGCTCCCCAGCGTGAGTGGGTTACCGGATGAAGGAAAGGGTGAGAAAGAGCACTTTGGAAGGGGAGCATCTCTTCATGAGGCTCTCAGGAGACAACAGCGCTGCTCTTAGGAGGATTTCCCTTAAAAGAGCACTTATTGTAAGAAAGCCTGAGCCATCAGCCCCTCTGGCTTCCTGTCTCACTACACATCTCTTGTGCACACACTCCCAGCCTTGTCCTGCTCTCAGCCATGAGGCATTGACCAAGCCCAGCAAAAGTCAGTGCCATGCTCTTGTACCTCAAGGCCTGTGAGTGCTTGCCTTCAGCATTGCCCAGCCAGCCTGTTTGAGCGGAATAATACCCTGTCTTGGTTCTTCGCAACTTATTTCTGAAGAAGACATTGAATTAAAAGAGCTGAAAGCAGTGGGCTTTTAATTTTCTTGTACCTTGTCTCATACTTACTGGCTTCGGCTTTAGTTTTAAAGAGAGCATTTCTCACGTTCTAAGGTATTATAAGGGAGACCACAATGAAAATATGAAAGAATAATGGGGAAAAGCAGATATCAACTGGGTTTGTATTGGGACTTTGCATCTGCTATATGTGTATTGTATCACTTTAAGGAAAATGGGGAATTTTCAGAGAGAGGCCCAGATTTTCAGAATTCTCACACACTTGTTGAAAGTCACACTACTTGACAATAGTGAACTCACAAACTTTTACTATATACTTAAAATATATACTTACATGTGCAAAATATAAATAAATATATAATACACTTATATACAAGTATATATAATATACTTTAAAAAATAGCATAAACTATACTATATATATGCATACATGTGTAAAGTTTGCATATACCTTATTATACTTATATTTTACTGATCATATATAGCATACAAAAACAGAATTTTTTAAATGGTGAATCAACATACTGACAAGGGGAGTGCTGGCACATGGCAGTAATCTCAGCACTCAGGAGACTGACACAGAATTATAAGTTCAAAGCCAGACCCTGTCTCTAAAATGTATATACATCTTAGAAGCTCAGTGCTTTGATGCAGAAGACTTCCCTCCTTGCTTTGCAAGTTTTCTTGGAAATGTTAGAGCAGAAGACATATATATATATATATGTCTTCAGACATATATATATGTCTGAAGTGTAATTTGCCATTTTAAAGCAATCTAAGTTTAACCTACCACACCTGAATGGGTGAATATATGCTGTAGTGTTTTGTTGTGATGGAGTGCTTTCTCTTGACTAACTGCCAATGGCAGGGCTAAAGGGCAGTTGCTTGGAGGCAGAATAAAGTAAGTCAAAAGCAATTTGACCTTTTTATAAAGTACTAGGCTATCACAATATTTATTATTAATATTTATCATAAGTATAGCAGATTGTTTCACATCAGTTCAGTCTCTCTCTCTCTGTTTTTTTTTTTTTTTTTTTTTTTTTTTGGCTTTTGCTGCTATTGTTTTTGTTGTGTTTTGCTTGTTTCTGTTTTCGCTTTTCAGTGGAGGAGTTCTCAGTATGTAGTCCGGGCTGATGTGAACTCCCTCACCTTCCTGGGTGTTGGCATTACAAGGAGGCATCATCAAGGCTGGCAGGTTCTTTCCATCATCCTAACCAGATTACACATCTTTTAAAGAGAAAGTGCGCCCTCCTACACCTTTTCTCTTCCTCTGGGGCTTCAGAAATTCGGGTACCCAGTCCTGTTGCAGTCCTATAGCAGCCTTGAGTCTAGTCTGCTACCTGACAGTTTTGTCCTTGGTGTACAACTTCATTGTCATCAGAAAAAAACAACTTGCTAGCAAAGCTGAGAGAAAATGCCTTCCTTTGACTTCAGACAAGGGCTGATTGTCATCACTAGAAGGGTGTTTGTTCTAGTCTTGCTTTCTTAGCTAACTCACAGGCAACTTGACTATCATAGACAGTAGCTTCAACGGTTGGAATGTGTAAGAAGAAAGGACAGGAACAGGATTGTTTCAGAAATAGAAGATCTACCACAAAATGCTTGTTCTCCAGAAGAAAAATAGTTCAATAAAGCTTTTTACTCAGGGAACATTTGAACCCCTGACAGAGTAAAATTATCCAGTTTCTGCTTAGACGTGAACTGGAAGAGGAGGGTCGTTAATGATATAATTTATTTCAGAGATGCCTGAGGGAAGACAGACCTGAGGGGAGGGAAGAGGAGAGAAGACAGAGAGGAAACAGGGAGGGGGGTGAGGGAGGTTAGGAGGTCAGAAGGAAGAAGCAGGAAGTGTGGGGGGAGGGGCAAAAGTCAGAAAATTAAAAGACAAGGCTTGGCGCTCTATTTCACTTTGCGTTTCTGAAATGACCTATTTCTTCAAGAAGAAAAACTCAACCCCGGTCTGTGCCAGAAGCGGCAAGCACACTGTTGAAGGGACCTCCATCCTACTGTGGCCAGGACTCAGCTCACCAGGACTGGTATTAAGTAATTTAAAAAAAAAAAATTCTCCTGGGCTTGACCCCTAGAAAACTAACTCAGGGAAAGACGGATAGAGAGGATCCGGCCTGGGGGCAGCACTCAGATGCAGGCTGCTCTGGGCAAGCAGGCATGCAGTCTCCGGTTAACACTCTGTGACTGGGACACAGCTGGCTTTGCATAAGGACATTAAATATACAGTACCACAGTTTGGTCCTGGGCCCGGCCTCCGGCTGGTGGCACCTGGCCATTTGTCTCCGCCAGCCAAGGCCTGGCCCTGGTTTCCACGATACCGGGAATGCCCCACAGTTCGCCTTCACACCTGTTAGGGGGTTCTCCACTCTCGCCACCAACCCATCGGCAGCCCTCCACAGCACTCTCCCGGGGCCCGCAGAGATGGCCTGAAGGGACTCGGCGGCGCGCAGGGCCTTTCGGAGCCGACCCCTGTGAGCCCTGGCGCTGGAGGCTGGGCGGGGCGGGGGCCGTGGAAGGCGGGAGAGGTCGAGCCGGGTGTGGGAAGGGCCAGGGGAAGGGCTGTCTCCGCTCGCGTAAAGCTGCCGGAGTCTGCGGCAGAGGCGGCGGGGCTGAGCAGTGGAGGGGATGGAGTTGCCACCAGCCTCGGCGCTCTTCCCCGCAGCCCCGGCATCACCTCCCCTTGCCCGGCCGTGCCACTCCTTAGGCCGCGCAGGGTGATCGCGGGAGCGGGTGGGCAGCAGGTCTCCCTGTACTGGAGAGGAGGGAGCGGCGGGGCTACAGCAAGGGGACTTTTAGTGTCCCGGGCGATCCACGCGTCCCCCAAGCGCCCGGAGACCGTGATCCGGATCGAGCTACGCGCGAGTCCCCCGGGGCACCGCCGGCGGCCGGGAGGAGGTGCGGGGCTCAGCCGCTCGGTCCTAGGAGCCCGAGTAGCCCATGGCGGGCAGCGACGTGGCCTGTGAGGGGCCAACGAGGAGGGGAGGCGCTACCCGGAACCGCGGGGCTCAAGGAGGGCTGCGCAGCCCGGCAGCAGCTAGTTGCCCCGAACCGCTGTCCGCTACTGATGCTCTGGCGGAACGCGGAGCGCTGCCCGCCTGGATGCGCCTCTACTTCTACGGGATGCACGGCATCACCCTGGACGTGTTGGTGTCCTCGGCCAGGCGCTTCGCCCGCAGCCTGGATCTGCGGATGTTGGGCTTCTCGTCGCCCTACCGCTGCCTCCTGCACTCGCTCACCCACTTTGCCCTGGAGCAGCTCTACCTGCAGCGGCCGCGCTGCCCCAGCGCCTTCCTCTTCAATTTCCTGCTCTACCCCTGGGCGCACGTGGGATTGCAGACCCTGGCGGGCCAGGCACTGCTGCTCAGTCTCGGCGGCGGGCCGGGGGGCGCGGCGGCGCCGGGGGCGCTTGACCTGGCGCTGCAATACGTACTGGCGCTCTACCACGGCCAAGTGTTCCTGAAGCGCTTCCTGCGTTTGCGGTACCCGCGGCAGCTCCAGCAGCAAACCAGGGACACACTACCGGCAGCCCCGGACGCCCGAGTCCTTTTGGAGGCTGGAAGCGGGCGACAAGGACCCCGGAGTCCCAAGGGCGCAGAAGGAGCCCCCAGCCAAGGTCTGCCAGACCTCCTCCGCTTCCTTTTCTTCGGAATGCATGGCTTTCTGGATGAGATCTTCTTCACTTTCTTCTTCAATGTTCTGGGGCAGGGAGACGGATCCAGCAGTGGGCACACATCGCTCTGGTCCTTCTTCATGTATGGCAGTTGTAGCTTTGTGGTTGAAAAACTCTACTTCCACCTTCACTACAGCCGTGGCTGGGGCACCTGGAAGAGGGTGCCCATCTATGTGATCTTTATTTATGCGTGGGAGTTGTCCTGGGGTCTGGGGCTTCGCATGTGTGGGGCCTGTTCCTGGGACTATTCTCACTATCCGCTCAATTTCATGGGTCTCATCACGTTGATGTATTTACCTGGTTGGCTATTCCTTAGTGTGTACCAGGACCTACTGTCCAACGTGTTGTGGAAGGTGCAGTATGTTCCAACAAACTAAGACTGGAAAATAAGAAGAAAAGAAAGGAAGGAAGGAACCTGACGACTGGATGCAATTTATTTTTACACATTTAACACGCGGTGGCTTTGTTTTCAGTCTTTTAATTTTTATACACATTACTAAGCTCTTCCAACTTGTTTTACTTGACGTTTCCGTTTTCCAGACTGCTCGGAATCTATATGTAAAGTTCATTACTTTGAAGTGTTACTCAAAACTAACTCAAATTGTTTAACTCATCAATAATTTAAACCTTTTCGAGGGCAAACAACTAAACCACTCTATCTTAAACATCAGAAACCGGTAATAGTCACTGACCCTCGACGAGTGATAACCACTTATTTTTCTGTTCTTCCGTAAACGTTTTCAGATCAGAGACCAGTGATTTTTACAAGTTCCTGATTTAATAAGCTGTTTACTTTCTTTTTAATGCAATTTCATTTTGCTTTCTTGCCATGTTGACCAATGGCAGCTGAAAAATCTATGTCTTCAGAAACTTCAGCCACAGCTCTTAAAGTGCCTCTGTCTAGTCTACACGCGAGAGGAAGACCGCAAGGGTGAAAACATCCCATGAACACATGTTAACAAGAATAGTCTTTTGTGTCAACTCCAACAGGTGACACTGTGTTGGTCACATTTGGTCACCGTCTTGGAAATGATTGCTTTCCAATGTTGGCTAGCCTTAAACACTATTTATGTTAACGTTACTCAGAACACATGTTGTCCAAACTTTTGTAACTGTGCAATAACCTAAATGTTTGCCCTAGATGTCCCAGGGTCAAGTGAAATTATACCACCTTCAATGGTGTTCTAATGCTAAGGCCCATTTTTCTACATGGAACTTCAAATATAGAAACAGTATCTTGGAATGAAATGAATCTGAATTCTCCCTCTAATTACATTAGGCCTAATTGTTTTCTCTATTTACTGATGCGTTTTCACCTTATTTCTCCCACAGTCCCCTCCCCCTCACACACTTTTTTCCTTTCAGGCCCAGAATTTGGGGTCAGGCCCGACATAGTAATGCACCTTATAAATGCATGAGAGCTTTGGACAGCTTATAATTAATTAATGTCTTTTAAAAGCTCCAAAGTTAAATGAGATGATGGAAGCCATTCTAAGAAATTATATCTAATTGATTAATAATGTACTCTGAGGGTGTTTGTTGTTTTATTGTACTCAAAGGAGAGAGTGGAATAGAGCGCAGCTCAGCCAAGGATGACTAATAACCTCTCAGCTTTCAGTTTGAAGATAATTAGGAAAACTTAGAATGCGTATTAATGGGTTTGAATTGTCCAATTGCCTGTGCTGTAAAAAGGGATGGCTTCTATTTCAAAAAAAAAAAAAAAAAAGAAAGAGAGAGAGAGAGAAAGAAAGGAAGAACCGTTTGCTAGGAGAATAGCAAAGAATGTGTGTTTAGGTTGGATGTCAGATGCATCAGATTTGATGCCCTAATCCATCCTGCTAGGTTGTGAGCTAAATTATAAATGTCACAGAGTCAACCCCACCTGTGAAATGGAAGAAAGCAAGCTAATTGCTCTCATCACTCACAACTTAAAAGTAAGCTCCATATTTGCCAAAGGTTTTCTCTTTGGTTCTTTACAATGCTCTGTAACAGGGCAACAGTTTCTGAAAATACTGGAGGGGAAAATAGGGAAGTAGAGACAGAAGAGTTGGGAAGATGCAGGACGAGATATTTGTAATGCAAATGTGACACGTTCAGGGGAACCTGAGGGAAGGGTGGCCCCACTGCACACCTCACATTCCTGTGAATGTCCACTCAGCTCCTTGGCTGCTGAAATGCTTACCAGTTTGTTCCCACTCTGTCCCCTCTCACCTCCAACATAAGCTGCTATCAAAGCCACTGAGAAGCCTGCTAACCTCCTCCAGCTCAGAAATCTCCCACTTAGGAACACCTGCCTTTTTATTTTCTTTTTAATTCTATGCTCATCAACGGGGTAGAGTAAGGTTTTCAGACACTGGACTTATGCAGGAAATAGTTACCCAGCCTCCAGTAATTAGTAGACGCTTCTCAGGACTGTGTATACACAGTAATAAACCAAATATCTCTGTCCTTATAAAGCTGGAAATAGACCGTATTGATTCTGTGAAATTGTACTTCTTTTTTCTGTTTGTGTTTTGGTTTTTGCTGTTGTGGTTTTTTATTTTTATTTTCAAGACCACTGTTTCTGTAATAGGTGATGAGCAACAGGAGTTAGAACTCTCATCAGTCCTGTCCCTGGAACATAACAATCCATTCTTCCAAAAAAAGTAACAAGACTAACAGTCCCCCACCACTATCTCCACAAAGTGCTAGCAGTGAATACAGGAAGTGATTAGGCTGGCTGGTAACTCAGTATATTGTCTTAGGGCTTCTCATTTTGTTTGCTCAACTTCTTAAAGCAGGCATTTTGCTGTGATCTTTGACCCTTCAGGATAAGGGAACCAACAAATCATTTAACTTTGTTATTATTAGTAGTTTAGAAGAGGAAATAGTAAGGCAGTATGGTAGATAATATTTAAATAGCATTTGCTCACTGACAAAACTTCTCTAAAATATATATGTATTAGACAGATATTGAATTAAGAACACATTCTTACATTCTATGCCTTAAGTGAATATACATACAGTATATATTTAAATACATATTTATGTATGCATACATATTCACTTAAACTTGCAAGAACCCTACTTTTATAGATGAAGGCAATAAAACTGAAGCCCAAAAGGATTCAGTTAACTACTTGAGTTATACAGCTTTTGAGCATTTATATTTGAATTAGTGGATGCTGGACTCCAATCTGTTCTTAACAGCAGCTTGATTGTGCCTCAGTCTACTGGCCTCAGTGATTTGGGTCTTGTCTGGACTGTTCTTCCCTTGACTGAGAGATACACAAATAGCTGTATAAAAGGTAAACTTTGTTTGCAAAAGACTCACTTTGGGTTTTTTAAAATTATGTGGTACATAGCAAATGAATTAATATCAGGATACATAACTGACAATCGGCCTCCTTTTACTCCATAGATAATGCCTTTATATTAAAGAAGTGCTCTGAAAGGAAGTTCCTCCATAAATTAAGATAATATGCAACATAAAATGCAAAAATAATATGATAAGATTCAAGGTAGGTCATTATCACAAGCTATGAATACACATATAATTAATCACTGCTGAACGTTAAATATTACATTTAGAGCAGATATCATTGTAAGGACTAACCCCAAACATGAGAAAATTTGTAGCCAGTTGTATTAGCACACAACTGATGATGCTAAAGCCGTAGGATTGCAAATTTGAGGTCACCCTAGGGCACATAATGATATCTTGTCTTTACAAAAACACTATTTTTTACAAAGACATATATCCTGAATTCTACTGAAGAAAAAATATTCTTAGTAGAAAGACATAAAAGTAGCAAGTGTACTTAATATATACAATGCTGAGATTTCTTTTTAGAAGTACTTGAAGTTTTAAGTAAATCCTATTGATTTCTGTGAATCTAAAAAGGAGTATATGCTGTTGAATTTTCATGCAAATAATGAATACAGAAGTACAGATATCAAAGGAAAACGCCAATAAAGTTGCTAACACACTGTGTTATTTCAAACATTTCCATGATTTGGTGTACTTGATTATTTTGTGTTCTGGTAATTGACAATTCATACTGCAACCAAGCAACACACACAAGTTAGAAAGATATGACTTCTTTTGTTATTTGAGAAACATACTTAATTGGATAATCCTATCTCCTAAGAAATATTTACAAAATATTTTTTATTGTTTTGAATTTGAAATAGTCTTTGTCGGTTTGGAAGCCCTGGTTCTATCGGATGCTGAAGCAGTTCGGGGGACAGCTTCAGCTCATCTTCCACTTTGAAGGTTCATAGAACATCTATATGTCTGAACATAGGCTGTACTCATGACACACTTAGTAGTAAGTCATTGTACCGAAGTATCTGACCTTGCAATAAGCCCAGTGTTTACATATATTAAAAAACATCACAACTTTTTACCATTTCAATTAATTTCAAATACACTAACTCTAACAGTACTTACTAGAGCTATGTCCTTTACCGAAGAAAAATTTAAAAAACAAAAAAAGAAAACATCATCCATCACCCCTCGCCTCCCTCTATGAAACATAAACACCTATTCTGTTGTCATGGGAGGTAAAGGATGGTTCTGTTCTACAGCCAAGACTTTTTTTTTCTTACTCATAGAGTTGGTAGCAGAGGAAGGAACAAAAGTAGCAATTGTCTCTGTGTCTAATGAACCCATTCATTAGACTTGGCCTCGTTCTGATTTTCACACTGCGGCAGCAAGCCATCACACAGGCAGTTGATTCCAGTCACAAGCAACCCAGACTGCAAAGCACTCGGGGATGTGTAAAGAGAAAGCTTTGGTGAAAACACTTTCTCATAATGTAGGGGGAAATGTAAATATGGGTAATATTTTCCTTAATTTTAAAATGATCTTTTCAAGGTTACCAGACAGGGAGGGGAGTAAGAATAACTCATCCTTCATATACAGAAATGATTAATTTTCTTCATACTTTGAAGTTTTCTAAGACTGTAAAACTTCTCACAAAACAATTTTCCCAGCTGGAAATTAGCATTTGTTAACTATGATTAAGGATATTTAAACTTTGCAAGAAGCTTTGCCACTTAAAGCACTGGATCTTTGACTCACAGGAGGCGTTCGCCCCTCTGGGGATGATTCCATAACTCAGCTTAGATTTACTATTCCAGTTTTCATTGTATTGTGTCACAAAGATTAAGTAGAAGGGAACACTGTCACCAATAGAGTCACCCAGTCCATTCTCAACCCGTCAAGGAATGAACTAGACTTCCAAAACATTAGGAACCAATAGCCTGCCATTCATTCCATGGAGTCCATTCTTGTGTTTGGTTTTACAAAATTCTTTCTCCTTCGTTGAAAATTTCCATGCTTAATTTTCTTGCTACTCTTATGACTTTTATTATTTCAAATGATAGAGGGCTTTCAGAATTATTGCTATTCCAGAAATTAATAACATCTTGGCTACAAGTAGGGTAGTAGGTTAAATTCAGGAACCCTGCATGAGTGACTGAAGTCTCTACATAGTTAAAACTAGGGAAAAATTTGACTACTTACTCTCCTGGCCTACAGGAGAAAATTCCCTGTTAACTTACCCATCTGTACAAGAAAAAAATTTAATAGACAAAGATATAACTCAGTAAGTAAGAGTTCTTGTCACAAAAGAATGAGGACCTCAGTTTGGATCCCAGTATCCACATATAAAGTTAGGTATGGCCATGTGGACCTGTAAGCTTGCTGAGACTTGTTGGGCCACAAACCCAACTTCAAATTCAATGATAGATCTTGTATCTTCGGAATAAGGTAGACAATGATTGACCAGGACACTTGGTATTCTTTTTAGCCTTCTCTCCTAAACCTATGCTCCCACCTATGCATGCAAAACCTACCCTCAAATTGCACAGAGATCAGGAGGCCAGAGGTGTCAAAGAAACAAGTGACTAGCCAAGAACTGTTGAAAGCCAACATGCCTATTTAAAAAAATTGAGAAACCAAAGGGATCAGGCACACCAAGAGAAGATGGCCCACAGAACCAATTGACCAGATTCATGGGGACTCACAGAGATCAGGGAGCCTATAGGGCTCTGACCTAGGTCCCCTGCATATATGCTATGGCTGAGGATCTTAGTGTTCTTGTGAGATTCCTAACAGTGGGAGTGGAGGTGGTTTCTAACTCCTCTGCCTACTTATGGGACCCTTTTCTCCTCCTGGATTGCCTCATCCAGCCTTGATGTGATGGTCTGTGGCTGGTCTTATTGTAGCTTGTTATGTCATGTTTGTTTGATGTGCCAGGGAAGTCTGCTCATTTCTGAGGAGAGATGGGGGTGTGGATCTATGGTAAGGTAGAAGGTAGCAGTAGAGACTTGGGGGAGGAAAGAGAAGGGAAACTGTGGTTAGGATGTAATATATGAGATAGAAATAACAATAATTAATTGTATTTATTGTATGAAGAAAAATCTTGCTATATATTTGATCACCTCACAATACAGACATATTTTACCACATGTCTTTAAATCTTGTAGTGCAGATAAATAATTCTATAGAATATAAAATCCTGACCCAGGCAGGGGTGGCTCACGCCTTTAATCCCAGAACTCGGGAGGCAGAGGCAGGTGGATCTCTGTGAGTTTGAGGCCAGCCTGGATACGAGTTCCAGGATAAGCTCCAAAGCTACAAAGAAACCCTATCTCGAAAACAACAACAACAACAACAAAAAGAATATAAAATC